TCACGCTCGAGATCGACAAAAGGTACACCTGCGATCTGAGACCTCAACAGGGCGATCGTTGCTGAAGTATACGGGCAACAATGCGATATAAAATCACATGTTACATGAACTGCAGTCAACCCGCACAGCAAGGATATATGACTTCCCAAGGCTACCCTTGCACCATTCCTTTATGGCCCATCAGTGGCCGCTTTCGCTGGCCGCGCCCCAGTCGAAACATGTCAACATGTCCCTTCAAGGCCTTTGCATCGTTACCGCGCATGCTTGTTATACGGACTTGTTGTACAATTATAACGGGATGCACCTGGCCAGAGAGGTAAACTCCATCACCACCCGACTATTACAGGCGGGGCGGTACGAATTGCTACGGGGTCTTGTCGAACTCCCAGGGCAACGCGATTACACAGGATTTCTACATCATTTGCATCCTACCACCCTTATCAGGGAACCTCAGCAAACGTACCTTGCAGACGGCCCGGCACGGACATACCAAACCCGCGCGAATTGGTACCGATGAGGATGGCTGCTAGGAGATATCTGCTGCCACAAGACACCATGCTGAGACGTGGTACCGAAGGCCTGGTGGAACGTACGACGTTTTCAGCGCTACGGACAAGGTGCGCCGTGTACTAAGCGACGCGCAAGGAAAGGCCGTCCTCGGTACCGACCGCTCCTACGACTGAGCGGCCCCGCCGCTTCCTTTTCCCCTATCCCCTCTCCTCCGTGGGCTTCAGGATTCGCAGGATGGTTGGTGGCCTCCTTCTCCCTCTTCCCCCACTTCGGGAGTTGTCCCCTTATGGCGTCCAGGGGGCCCCGATTACGCGTCGGCCGGGCTCCGCGCGCGGGGGCCAGCGCGCGCGGGGACAGCACATGTTTCTTCGAAAGGGAGAAGGAGGAAGAGGAGGAGGAGGACGAGGAGGAGGAGGACGAGGAAGACGAGGGCGAGCACGAGGATGATGATGAAGAGGAGGAGGAGGACGACTACGGCGAAGATGATGAGCCACAGGGAAACCTCTTCCCGTCAGCACCCCCCTCCTGTTGTGGGCCCGCGGCGCAGGACCGACGGCGGGGGCAGGTTCGACGGCACCGTCCTCGAGCTGCGCACAGGAGGGGGCGGCGGCGGGAGGGACAGAGGCAACGTCAGGGGTACAGGCTCGAGGGACAGAGGCACCGTCAAGGACAAAAACGCGTTAGGGGCAGAGGCGACGTCAGGGACAGAGGCAACATATAGGGACAGGGCGGGAGGGGCGGCAGCGGGAGGGGACGTTAGGGCGATAGGCTCGAGGTGTTCGGATGTTTTTTTTGTGGTTTCTCTGCGGCCTTCCAGCCTCATGCTGCCTTCCAGCGGCTGCGCCTCGCCGAGAGCGTTCTGGATGTACGCCGACCGGCCCGAGCGGCCGCCGGAGACCCGAGTTATGACCCGACAAAAATCCGGGGATGGGCCCAGGGGGATCAATTGACCCCCGATCGCCCATGAATTGCTGACAGGGGCCTGATAGCCCCACCCCGCCCAGGAGCGTACGGTTTCGCTACTGGGGCCTTGTCCCCGATCTGTCAACGAGGTATCGCCGATTGCAGGTCGATGTTCCGCCGTGGGCCAGTCCACAGTCCTCCCCTATAGTTGCTCGCCAGGGGGGCGGAGACGGACAGAGCGGCCCTTCTGGGGGGAAGTCAATTGCGGACAGGATCGTTAGCTCAGCGTGTCGCGCCCTTCCGGTCTGGCCCACCGCGCTTATGCGCGGCATGCTGGGCGCCGTCTCGGTCCCCGAGCATCAGCGGTCCGAGCTTTTCCCAGCCTCCCGTCCCACGAGGCAGACCGACACGCCATAGCTTGCAAGGCGTAGCGTGCCGCAGGGGTCGCGGCCACGACACGCCAAGCAAGAGTTTCTGATCGTATGCTCATGCACCGATCCTGGCCAGGCCCACTCTGGGCCCAGGATCGGTGCGTGCGCTTTCTTGGCCCGGCCAGTTACTCGCACCGATCCCGGGCCCAGATCGGTGTAGGCGCATAGTTGGTGTCCCCGAAACTGCGCTGATGCATTCTCGGTTATGCTGGATGTTGACCTTGATAGCGAAGGGCGAGGGGGACGTGGGGGGCGCTTCATACTACACGTGAAGACGTCCTCATCGCTGCATCGACGTCGAGGTGGTGAGAGTGAAGCGGCCACAACGTGAACGTATGTTTCTGTTCGTGCAGCGCGCGCAGGAAAGGCGACGCTGTGCGAAGACAAGAGGTACCCTTCTTTCGCCAGGGACATGCCACGCCCATTCTGCCCCCCGTGGCAGGCGTCGTGCCTCCGTGTTGTCCCAGGGTTGTCCCGTGCGGTCGTCGTGTATGCGGATGATCCTTGCGGGTGTCCCGTGGTTGTCCCGTGCAGTTGGTTTGTGAAGGCTCCGTGGCCATACAGGACGGTGGGATAGTTAGGTGGGCCAGAGGTCGGTTGCGTGATACGGGCCTTGCGTGTTTCTTTCTTCGTTCCCCCTGCGGTCAAAATAATGTGTGTTAATTGTGGCTGGTTGGTTGTTCAGCAGCTTCTGGCTTACAACTTCTGTCGAGCGATGCGTTTTCGTCCCCTTGGCACTGCGCAGTGCGCAGGTGATGATTGGATGGATGTGGTCCCCCTCTAAGCCTGAGGCTACCCCTGGTTCGGATAGGCTGATCTGCATCTTGTCTTCTGCGCCCCAATGTTTCGGCACAGCACATCTCGTGCGGATGGGCAAGTGTGCCCAAAACTGGATTCTTTCCTGTCTGTGCAGGCACAGGTGGAACTTCACAAACAGGACGTTTTGCTTCCACTGCACGGCTGCGTTCGTACCCCAGGAGATGCCGTGGCGCGACGCGCAAGGAGTCGGGCCCGCCAGTACCAACCTCATCAACAACACGGACGGGGTGTGCAGTAAACGCCAACAGGGCCACTAGGCACATGAAAGTGGGGAAACACCGCCGCCAGCGGTGGCTCCGCTGCGGAAGCCTATGCCGCCATAGCGGGCGGAAACAGGCCAGAGCGGGGGGTTCTCGACAGAGGACCTCGGAAAGCAGGCTCAGATGAGTTCGCGGCGCTCGGGGGCGCGCTGTTTGGACCGAAGGCGCTGGCTCCACCCCAGAAACACATACTCGAAACCACCGTGTCGGCCAAGGAAGTGTTTGCCGCCGCGCACAGGCCCACCTTGAGGCGATGGTCAATCGGCAGGAAAGAGTTGACGCGTGGCACAAACTTGCAAGAAGGCCACGGCGACAGGCCTCATCCAAACTTGCGACGCGAAGGTCGCCTGGCAACAGGAGTTGGCCCTTGCGTTGAAGTGGGTTCAGGGGTCGGCATATGCAGAGCACTTTGGCAGTGGCGCGTCGTCGGCAGCAGGTGCGAGGACCGAGAAGATCGCGGGCTCCAAAATCAACCTGTAGGAGTTGTTGAATCGTGGGGGTGCCGACGTAGTCGAGATCATCGGCGAAGAAGGCTTTGACGCCGACTCGCCCGGCGTGCACGGGACACCCAGAAACGGAAACTGGCTCGCCGTCGAAGCCAACATGGCCAAGGGGATCCAGTCGGCGGCGCCCGCGGCGATCGGTCCAAGAGCCGAACACATCAAAAACTATGCAAGGATGCCGCAGAACTTCGCCAACGCACGGCGGCGAAGCGCGCCGCAGCAGAAACATCATGATCAGCGGCAGCAGGACTGCCGGCAGGCCAGACGAACCCTGGCCTAGCGACAGCGGTGTCATCGGCTTCAGGCGCGCAGCCAACGACCCCAGGGACTGGCGGTGCTCCTGCTGTTGCTCATGGCGATGGCTTGCCAGCGGGCCAGTTCAGGAACCAGCGAGGCATGGGCGCGCTTCAGGGCTGCCTTCGGCCGCGGCAACAGGGCGTTGGTGGGCAACGCTGATCAAGCTCGCCAGTCGGGTGTTCACCTCGATACTTTCTGCCCTCGCACTTTTTATTTTTTTCGCTTCGGGGGGGCGCGACGCCCCCCCCCCCGCCGGCGCCTGCCCTCGGGATCTCGGAGCCCGCCAAGAGGATTTCGGGGGCGGGTCGGCGACGCGAGCCTTTGGAAGAAGGGCGGCGCCCGTGCGGGGGGGGCGACTGCCTCGGCGGCCGCCGGGGTTCAATGGCGCGGACGCTGTGCTGGCTAGGCTTTGGGGCGCAAGTCCCAGGCGCGTCGCTGCCGCGCAGCCGCCCGGGCTCAGCGGTGGCTGTGTCTTAAAAGGCGTTAGAGCGCAAGCCCCAGGTGGGCCGCAGCTTCGGCCAGGCCTCTCGGGCCCAGCGCCAGCCATGTTTGCCGGGGGTTCGAGCGCGAGCCCCTGGTGCGCCAGCGGGGGCTGAGAGCGTTGGGCTTGACGTCGCCGCAGTTCTGGCGAGGCGTCAGTGGCCGCCGCTTTTCTTAGCTACCTACAAGTCCAACTGCTGGTCCACGGCAGTTGATTTTCCGAGTGGGCCCGAGGGTTTCGCGGCAAGGAGTTCGAGAGTGCCCGTCGTCCAGAAAATTTCCATCGCGGCGTTCGCCTCAGCGGTCCCAAGACGTTCGCGCGCGCGGTTGGCTACCTCGTGTCCATCTGGGCTACGGCCAAGACTGGAGAAGCAGCAACGTCGACTTCGGGGGGGGTCGCAGCGATCGCCAAGCGCGCGGGTGGCGGTTGACCTGCGCGCGCGACCTGACGTGCCGCAGGATGGCGGCGCAGCGGCTGGGCGCGGCTGGCTGGCGCGATGCGGGTCCACGCGGTTTCCGGTTATTGCCGCGCCGGAATGGGGCTCGCAAGGGGGCAGTCTGCGTTTCTTGGAGCAGGCGCGCGAGCTCGCCACCAGTGCGAGTGTCGCATTATTCATCGGCGGGGGCGGGACCGTCGAGACGTCCGTCCTCGGGGGCTCGGGCTGGGCCGACCGCGCGGGGGGGGCGTTCGACCCTCGGGCCTGGGCGTGCCGCTTGCAGCTGCCGCTGTTTTGTTTTTTTTCGCGACGAGCTCGCGCCTTGCTTTCCGCGTGGAGAGCGCGGCGGCATGGCCCGACGCCCAAGTCTATCCCCGCGCAGCCACCGCGGTCGCGGCCAATAGCCTAGCGGGACAGGCTAAGATCTGGAAGAGAATCGCCTCTTCCAGGTTCCCATTGTTAGCCCTCGATGCGGGCGCCCCACCGCCCGAGGGCGACGAGGTGCCGGAATGCTGCAGATTTGTCGCCTGAGGAGGCGGCGTTCGCCGTTTTCGCTGCTGCCGAGGAGGTTTTTTTGCGCCAGAATGACTTGCCCCGCGGCGGCGGCAGCCAGTGGCGCGGGCGCTCTGGAGGCTGCAAGTTTCGAGCGGTCGCCCTGGGGGCTGGCGGCCAGGGGCCGGGGTGCGCGCGAGCGTTCTAAGTCAGCCGCCCGGGGTGGGCTTTCTGTTTGGCGGCTCGCTGTTTCTTGCATGGCGGACAGGAGCCTTCGACCCCGCGTCAGAGGGCCCGCCGCCCGGCGGGGTTTGCCAATTCAATTTAGGCCGAGGTGGGCGCCCATATCTCAAATGAGACTGCGGATGCCCAGGAGAAATTTGAGTCCAGGGCCCAGCGTTCGGTCGAGTCGGGGGGTCGCGTTGAGCATCGCAGTTCGAAGGTCTCCAGCGATCCAACCGCGGGGCTTCTGGCCGTCCCCGAAGCGGGCCCCCCGTCCCGCTGGCGGGCCAAGACGCCCTGGCTGGGCCCCCGCCTGGCGCCGTCTGGGCCGGAAGGGCTCGCCCTCGGACTTGGGAGTTTGGCGCGTGAGGTCCCGCGGGCGACGTGCTGCCCGATCGGCGGATCTCGGGTGGGGCGCCTCCTGCCTTCGCTGACATTTCGAACCGGCGGGGGGCTCGCGCGCTCGGGACATTTGCGGCTTATTTTGCATCAGCAAGCGTCGCAGAGCCTGTGCCAAGAGGGGGCAGGCGCTGGATGTGGATTTTGTGCCCGGGCAGCGGCGCGGGCGCGGCCCGCGGCAAAAGCGCGCGGGTGCGCGACGCGCTCGCTGCGCGCGCGCTCGCTGCGCGCGCCAGGCCCAAAGGATGGGTTTCAGGCGCCTGCCCAACCTGCCACGCTCGTGTGAACATTTTTCTCATGCCGAGTCGAAAGAGACCGCCCTCCGCGCCAATCTTCCTCTCGGGGACCTCGAGG